CATAGAGCATAGAATGAGTGTTGTATTTTAGTCTCAAACTAGAGAAGTAGAATTTATGTTTATTTGTGTATAGATCTATCAAGTTGACCAAGGGGATCAAAAGCGTTTGGTTTGATATCTGGTAGGGTCTTGTGTGTATATTGCCTTGGAGGTTTAAGTAAATATACTTTGATCCGATTTTGTTTATTTATTAGATGATTTCAGTTAGTGATAAAAAATTCTGTGAAACAAAGTGAACAATTTAATTAAGCTGAAAAACTTGGTAACATAATTCTCTGAAACTTGGCATCCTTTATATTTTTAAGAAGCAACAAATGATAATTGTACTTTTCTAACTTTATTATTTTTTGGTATTCTATCAGAAAGTAAATGGTTATTCTCTCCATAATTCAACGTTTTCATTTATAATTCTCATCCATCCCAGCACAGAATATTACTAAGTACCCAAGTTGATTTGTAACGCAAATGTATTAATGACATTGTATAATAAAACTAATGTGATTGATTTGCTTACAATAACGTAACTTCAATAACATTTTACCGCATATCGTTCATGTAAAACAATAAGATGTGTGGTCTTTTAGATATTACTTACACTAATACTAATCAAGGATCGTCTAACAGAGAATAATGAAATTAAAAACCGCTAATATGTAAAAGAACCTCGTATGAGAAACACTTTGATAACATACCGAAAGTTTTTGATATAAGTTTTTAATATTTATGAACTGTACACTTTGTGTACACTTTGTTTTGCCTCAGTACTTAACTTATTACTGTGAGCTCATCCTGGTGTGAATACAAGTCATCACAAAGTTTCAATACATTCATAATTTTTTTTTGCTTCTTATGTCTAATCACATCACATAGATGACGGAAACACCTATTATCGGACGAAAATATCTGAATGCAACCATTAACAAATAAAAGGGTCATTAAAAACTTCTCAACTAAGTGTACACTAAAAATAGTAATTAAATACAAGAGTTTTGCGTTATAAGGATGAAGTGTGAAATCCAACCGATAATCACTTTGTAGACAAAGTGTTTTCTTAACCTACATATCTATTAATTGCAACTAGTTGACTGTGAGTGTGGTAATCCAAGTCATTTTATACGGTTTTCACTTGTGTTGTTCTATATGGCATAATTTATCTAGTTTCTTATAAAACCTCATTGTTTATGTTTTCTAAAAAAATCATTCATGGTCACTAATCTAATCCCTTTTTTATTTGACCCTTTAAGCAATCATGATCACTTTTAACTAACCGATCTTATCTTATAAATATAAAACGTATAGACAACGTTATTAAACAGTTATTCTAGTTTACTATTCATTGTTATTCTTTAAAATAGGTTCTATAATTTATATATTAGTGGCTAATGAATATGTTTTTCTAAATTTAAATAGGTTTTTCACTTGAATAAATTTTCTATATAACGATATGAAAATTGCCAAAGAAGAAAATTCTTCGTCATATTAACATATAGATATATGTGTGCTCTGATGTGAAAATCAAAAGTCATTCATACGTATCTATTTTATGCTTCATTACGGAAGCAGATTAGTTAACCTATTTGTAAATGCTTTTATTGTATTTTTATTCACGCTAACAAAATGTTAAATAGTTGAATATGTAGTTCAGATCATTAGTCAATTGAAGCTAGACCATCATGGAAAACTTGGAAGCACTGGACGGTCAACACGTCCTATTGTGGGACTCTTCAGTAGTGCGCATCTACGATCCCGCCTCACGAGATTCGAACCCAGGACCTATCAGTCTCGCGTGAGTGAATATTTCAATATAAAAAGTATTAGATATCAGTAAGAAAGTCAATGAATAACTAAGGATCCAGGTAAACTGTTCATCCGCCACAGTTACCACGTACAACATCATTACAACAAGGTGAATAGCAAACGAGTTCAAATGAGAAAAGTATCAATTATAGTAATCTAAACTGATAATAGAAAATATAATTCAATAAGATGAAATATGTAAACATACATTTATTGAACAGAGAATACGCTATTGACAATGTAACCGACTTCATGCCATATTACCCGATATATAATCAATTTATTGACATAGGCTAAATGGTATAAAAAGTTCTTATATTGAAAACAAACTAGGTGAACAATACAAACAACCTGAATTACGATAGCTTTATTCGAAAACGTCTTGTTGTCAATCCTATTAATGTCAAGTAAATATATACATTATATTAGTTTGAGCTGAAATCAACATCCATATGACCTAAGATTTCACACACAATCAGCTTTATAACCAGGTTGCTAATATTGTAAATATTTAAAATGAAATTTTGTGAATATGACGTTGAGGTGTATGCTACTTATGTCTGCTGAAATAAGTAGTATGTGCACCCATCAGAAGGTGAATGCCTGTCAAAGGAAGGTTGAATAGATTAAAGTGAATAAAAAAAGAAAGGGAAACATAAAGGAATCGAAAATTGGAAGAATCATGAACAATGTAAAGGACACATGATGGAAGATTTGGAAATAAGGTATTTAATGTATACTTTTCACATTTTAACAAAGAACTCTTATCTATCCCTACTAAGTTTTCGTTCACTACAACGCTACAGTATATTGATAACTCAATCTAACATGCATATTTAGAATTCCTTTTTCAGTTATCATAGTTTTTACGATCATGTGTACTGTTTTGAATATTCGTTGCTTCAACCGTTTTAAAAAACGGAACATATTTTTGTTTTGGTTTTTTATTAACAAGTTTGTTATTGTTTTTTCCAAATTTTTCCGAAATTTCAACAGTTAAATTACGTCTTCCACAGATTTATTGCACGTTAGTTTACAAATGTTAAGGAACTTTAGCAGAAACCGAAGTTTTTTGTGACCTCTAATGTGTTAAAGTTCTTTGAAAACCCATTGTATTATTTAATGTATTAAAGATAAGCGTAATAACGTGTCAATATTTTCTTTAAGAATCAGATAATCCGAGTTCACTGTTAGAGATGATTAAACACAAACTTTCTGTTTGTCTACCGGATGTTAGAATTTCCTAACTTCGTTACTCAGCTTTATGATTGTGTTGTACTGAATAAGCTAAGTGACCAGGCTATTCAGTAATTTGAAGATATTTTAGCACAGTTTTACCAAGCTGATATATATTGACTATAAATACTGAATGTTTCTGAAAACTGGCGTGTATTAAATATTTGGTAAGCGAACATATCTATAGAATAATGATTACGATACAAAATAGATCAATTTTACTTTTCTCATTATTCTGAAAGATGTCATCTTAACATATCTAATGAGCAACAGGAGTTTCATAAGATTCGGTTAAAATGTGCAAAGTAAGGGTTAATAAATCCTGTTTAAGACTATACATGCATTATAAATATTGACTAAGTTTAATACAAGATATTTTGTTTTAAAACGTATTCCTTATAATTTACTGTATTAGGTAATTCATTTAAATTATATTTAAGGACCATTAATTTTAAAAGTAAATCTGAGAGATAACACGTCATTATTGTGGGAGTTGCTTCAAGATCCACTCTGCTTTATTTTATTTTATTTGAACGCATAAATATTGGTACAAAGGGGCGCCAGATACGTATGAACCACACAAATCTCATTTAATTTGCGTGAGGACTGTGATACTGCCAGGTTGCCCAAACCAAAGCAGGAGTTGCGAGTGGAAGCGTGCTGGACCCAAATCCCACTCTGCTTTAAAATGAATCAGTACAATATCTAATAAAAATGATTCAAATAAGTAAGAGATATTAACCTGTCAATCATGCTGAACTACGATCACACAACATTATTTAGTAACTAATGCTAAAACTATGGAGCACTGAATTCTAACCAAATAATCTAAACTTATTGTCTGCAGAAATAAAACACTCTGAATCTATTCCTAATCTTTGATCTTAATTAACCACTTCCGAATATTTCTAACCTAATTTGAAGAGCATTTTATTGCTTAGCATTTTTTAAAACATTTCTCCAGTAGACGTCATCTCCAGATGAAAAAGGCATTTATTAACATTTGTCACATGAATTACGAGTAATGCATTCAGTTTGCAATAATATAATACAATCGCAAATATTACCCATACAAACTATTTTCGACTTGTAATTAGTAATAATATGGAAGAATTATTCATTTTTATAGCTATTAGGGCTCAGTAGCTGTATAGAGAACATGATGGCGTTTGAAGCGAACGGTGCTGCGTTCAAGTTCGATAGTCAATATCAACTCTTACGTACAGCACATCCAATTGACGAGTTCCAAGTAGGACAAAACGTGCGTCATGAATTCCACTGCTAGCCACTATCCATCTTTACTTATAATATGAAAGAATAATAGACAACTCCAATATCTTTTAAGTAACATTTCCTGAGTTTCAAAATAGTTTGAAATTCATATATTTCGTTTTAGGCTTGACAATGAATTAAAACAACTAGAATTAACCTATCATAATCATCATTATCATGATCTTAGAAAAGATGGATAGTGGCTAGCAGTGGAATCCAGGACGAACGTTTCGTCTTATTTGAAATTCGTCAGCTAGATGTATCTGCATCTCAGAGTTGATGTTCACTCTGGGACTCGAATTCAATAAATTTCGCTTCAAACGCCGTCTTGTTATCCACTCAGCTACTGAGTCCTGAAAGCCACTTTCTTGTGCAATGAGGTGAAGTTTAAATTCACTTGGTATTACTTGTTTGAATCTTTCCATCGATGTGTTAGGACTGCAACTGGTCAGTCTCTTATTGGCATATGTGCATACTGTGCGTATTGCCTCGATATAGCCTTACTTCACAAGCATTATAAGTAAAGATAGATAGTGGCTAGCAGTGGAATCAAGGACGCGCGTTTCATCCACACAGGATGCACATATATCAACAAGAGACTGATCGATTGCAGTCCTAAACATCAATTGGAAAATTCAAACAAGTAATACTAAATGATCTTAGAAAGTTTTAATTAAATAAGCTAACTTTCTTACCAGATCAGATTGAGCTGTAAATTCATTTATATGTTTATTCTTATTTGATAATTCATTTTCATTAAATGATAATTGACTTTTTTGTTCAGTTAAATTAATTACACATTTTGATCTATTATTCAATGATTTAAATAATAATAAACAATCACTATGACTTATATTTTGTATTCTACTACTACTACTATTATTATTATTATTAGTAGTAGTAGTAGTAGTATCATATTGTTTATTCAATGATAATGATGTATATGATTTTGATAAATATTGTGTTTTTCTTTTAATTTTATATTGTAATTGCTCATTTATTAATTCATTATATCTTTTAATTTCAATATGATTTATTGAATTCATTTCAGTAGTATATTCTGTTTTATATAAAAAATATGTCACATTTAAATTTGGTAATGATAAATATGTTAATAAATGATCATTTTCAAATGAATTTTCTTCATCATTTTCAAATGTTTTACTTTGATTATGTAACATTTTATTAATTAAATTATTTTTCATTGATTAAATTAATTAAATTAATTAAAATTATAATAAAATAGTTTTTTTTTCTAAAATCATAATTAAATTCTTTTACATGATACATTTCAATGAATAAAATAAAATTCATATTATGTTTCATTTAACTAATTATTGGATAAAATTGTTTTATTGTATTTTAATTGGTTGATTATAATTGACCAATTAGAATATTTGTATGAATGATATAAAGAAACATTATTAAATAAACAATAGATTATTTTATATAGTTGAAATCATGAGTCAATTGAAAGTAAACTACTATGAAAAACCTGGAAGTAATGGACGGCCGATCCATCCTATTCTGGGACTCCTCGGCAGTGCTCAGCCATGATCCCGCCTCTCGAGATTCGAAACCCAGGATTCATGATCTCAATTATTGAAATTGCTATAATATCTACAGAAAAACCCTTTTGACAATTATCATATGCTAACAAGTGACTGACTTCAAGAGATATTTCCTGGAGTTCTAGTGAGAATCAGTGACCAGTGGGGTCCATTCAGGTCTGTTGTGAGATATCAACTCACTGAAGACATTGGTGAATGGTTGCTCAATTTCATGGATTGGTTGAAGTTAGACATAAACACCATGGGATGCCGGCTCAGTGGATTAGTGGTCATAAATATTTACTCTTTTCAACTAATTAACAGTTTTTATAAAAATTTCTAAGATTGTTTGATGCTAGTGGTCAAACTTTATATTTTATATAATGATCGGTATGTGATTGTGAAGATTGTTTGAGATCATGTAATGATCGATGTTAGACCACCATTAAAATTCTGGAAGCACTGGAAAGCTTTTTTGTTCTAGTATGGGATTGGTGAGCAGTGCACATCCACAATCCTACACTTGTGATTCAAACCCAAGACTTTCGGCCTCATGCATCAACGCTTAACCTCTAGGCATCTGAATTGGCATTCAACGGTATTAGTGTCTAATTTCAACTAATCCACGATGTTGTATAAACATTTTCTATCGCTCACTAATGACCAGCTTCATGAGGTAATTCTCGGAATTCTACTGAGAACCAGTGACCAGATGTGCTAAAAAATGTCAGGTACAGTCAGGTATTTACCTCAGACAATGGAAGATGGTCACACAATTCTGTGAATTGTTTGAAGTTAGACATTAACACCGTTGGATTCCGGTCTAGTGGTCTAGATGTTTAGCGTTCTAGAGAGACCAAAAGTCCTGGGTTTTATATCATGAATTTGACAGTTTTAATGTTATTTAAGCAACAATTTTCTAAAAGCAAACTTTTTCTATAAACGAGAACAAGTTTTTTGAAATGTTTACCACACTTTTTATGACTTAAGGTGACTGTTTCAATAAAAATCTAAAAAAAATATCTTCCACTAAATACAGACATAAATTTGCATTACGTTTTTCAGGCTTCAGTTATTCAAGTATTAGAGCACTTTAGTGATATGTATTTTATCATTTAACGTGAATATTAGTTACTTCAGCTATGTATTTGATCATAGTTTTCTTTCCGACCTTGAATTCCATTATTTGAATTATATTATCAATGCTTGTTCTTTCCCATTACCATAACTACAATATTATCTTGATCTCCTTTACTATGCATCTTATCGAATTTATCCCGTTGTACTAATACGGTGTTTAAATTTGGGTTAGCTCATATCTATACTAGGCTCTACGTTGATGATGACTGACTAACCGTATTTATGAAATGCATTTTGAAAAAACAAATTATGAGCATTGTAGATTTGCTTTCAGTTTAAATCTATCATTATAATTAGTAGTTCTCGTATTATTATTATCATTTCATTCTATTAACTCGAAATATCAGAAATAACTGGTACGATTTTCCTGAGCTATTATTTTATTGTCATGTAACCGTTTCAAAAGTAAACATCATAACATATTCTTTATAGATACATCAGTATAGAGTTCGATATATCTCTATTTACAAGTTCCCTAGAAATATACCTAATCTACTAGACATTTATTTAATACGAAAAATGATTTAAGAATGACACATTTTGAGATATTTTGAAAAATTCTACTAACTGAAAATAAATACAAGTGATTATCGGTTTGAATTGTAAACATTGAGACGTTGTATAAGAATCTTTGTAAGTTTTAGTGAAATGCTTTAGGGTTAATCTTGTTTTCACTCCTGAAGTTAACAGATAAGTTCATTGTACTCAAAATTCTCGACAGTTAAAAAATATCTCTTATAAGTTTAACTAAGTTCCCAATTGAAGTCGGAAAACAAATCACTTGCTTACGCCTTTTACCCTTCGTGGAAGAGCATAGGCCGCCCACCAGCACTCTCCATCCAACCCTGTCCTGGGCAATACTTTCCAGTTGCTATTCACCCTTTTCATATCTACTTCTATTTCCCGGCTTAATATGTTCTTTGGTCTTCCTGTTTTACGCTTCCCTTCTGGATTCCAAGTTAGGGCTTGGAAATAAATCACACAAACTTCAAAACAAAGGTGAATATTTATCTATACATTTGTAAGACATTGATCCTTCGATCGAAATTTCAGCAAATTTGGGAAATTTTCATATATACAACTTTTTTCAGATATTTTTTAAAATCCTTCTCCAAAATAGCCACAATAAATATCATTCTATTTTTTAAACACTTTAAGTACATTCCTTAATGTTTTATCAAGATCTCTTTCGTTGTTGTTGTCACAGCTACTTAGCAATATCAATTGACAAAATATGATATGACCACATTATTATGATGATCATTCAAGAAAACCGTCATTCATATAAACAGTTATAATTCAGCATTAAAGCTTCACAATGTATATATTTCATTAGATAAGTACTTATTAATACCCTTAATAACCTTGTAACATTAAAATCCAGAATTCCTATTAATTATCTTTATTTTTATTGATTGATTGTTGACTTTAGTAAAGTGATATAATTTATATCCAAAGTCACTAAGTTTATAAGAGCAGGTTACTAAACTATTTCGATAATGCAATGAGAAGACGAAGATTATCAGAACTATGTGATATATTAGCGCAATACATTTCGAACAATCTGATCACACATATACTTGTTAAGAACATTTATATATAAAAATAAAAGGTCAACTAGACTGGAAATAGGGGTAAGAATAGACATGGATAATAATGATAAAATAATGTGAAAACAATTTGACACCTAATCACTCTGGATAATAAGCATATATTACCAGGGTAGGTTTAAAGAGAGAACAAACTGGTTTTGAATGAAGCATGGACCTCGTTCATTCAAAACCTAGACGAAATGAAAACGATTGTGTCACATCCCACTGTGCTTACCAATTTAAATGTGTGTGTGGTCACACATACATAGGGAGGAGCAATCGTGATCTGAAAATTAGGGTGGGTGAACATGTACCAAAATGGTTGCAAAAACAAATACAGTCGAATGACCCAATAAGAGTAGAGGATAAACATCCATCATCCTCTATTGCTAAACATATAATCGAAACAGGTCATAAGATTGATCTAAACTCGGCTTTTGTGGTGTTGTTTAAAAGTGTAAAAGGGCGTATACTAAGGTTTGTTGAAGCCTTAGCCATACGAAAATTCAACCCCCCTTTGTGTATTCAAAAACAGTTTGTTCTCTCTTTAAACCTACCCTGGTAATATATGCTTATTATCCAGAGTGATTAGGTGTCAAATTGTTTTCACATTATTTCATCATTATTATCCTTGTCTATTCTTACCCCTATTTCCAGTCTAGTTGACCTTTTATTTTTATATATAAATGTTCTTAACAAGTATATGTGTGATCAGATTGTTCGAAATGTATTGCGCTAATATATCACATAGCTCTGATAATCTTCGTCTTCTCATTGCATTATCGAAATTTATCAAAGGGACTAATTGCTTTAAATTTCTTAAAAGAAGACTCCCTGCACATACTTAACTATTATTCATTCATACAAAACAAGTGTTTACCCTTCCCTGAAAAATCATTTTGACCTGTCAACAAGTAAGATTCAATGAACACCAATAATCAATCATTAGAATTATTTTTTTTTCTGTCCTTTTATTAAAATTAAAGGTAAATTTTGATATTCTTGTTTGATTTATATTTTTAATAAGCCACTATGTATATAGACTTTCATTCATATTTCAATTAAGGTAACAATTTTTTTGGAAATGTATTCCAAAGTAAAGGGTTGATAAATCTTTACTAAAATGTTATTGAAAAAGTCTATCAGTTCCATCTTATTTTAGAAAATTAAAATCAGTGTCCTAATAAAAAAAATGTTGAACAAACTCTTCTGTTGTTTGTCAAGGGATTTATTCAAAGAAAGTTATATTATTACTAACTATACTATAAATATATATGGTTGCCAAACGTGATCTTGGGACAGATGGAACAATTAACAAAGTTGTAATGATGGGTAAGAAACTGGCAAAAGTCATGTGAAAGTATGAACTAGAAAAAAATGTACTTGAGGTTATCAATACAAGAAAGAACAAACGCTTATTCACAGAATCTAGATAACCTGGGATCTTCTTAAGAGTTATGATAATATGTTCAATTAATATTCTAGGGATAGGAATAAAGTTTAACAGCATAAAGAAGCTACTCTACTTTGTAGTATCTTTCGCATGTTATATCGTCCTATTTTAAATATATATACATTGTCTCCTACGTCCTATTAGAATGTCAAAAACTAAATGCCACTTATGATTATCAATGATGTCAACATAAATACACTCATTATAAATGAGAGTTATACTGGTCGTTGTTCAGGAAAAATCAATATCATCTTTTTTCAAAGTCAGTATTGATATACCTTTATCGAACAAGTTGACAGTGTGAGTAGCAAGATAAATCGAATAACCTGATATTAAGTTGTTTTTTTATAGATTAAATGGTAGTAACAAGTAATTATATGTCATCGATTATGTTAAACGTGTCTCTAATAGCTTAAGAGCAATATCTGTTAATACAGTAATGTATATTACTAATGTGAATACCCAGTGCAAGATATATTTCCATGAAATTGTGAACATGGTTTATTGATAAGTACCTATTAAATTAAGGCATTATTTC